GTTACTCTAATTATAGTTTAATAACCAAAAGACACCTGAGTAAAGCCTGGGTGGTCTGCTAGCATTGATTAAATAATAAAATTAATCTTATGCATACATTTACTAGGTATTTTGGTTGGAATGATCAGTGTTTCTGATATGGTGAAACCAGAAGCTCATTTAGCAGTTTATACTTTATTGAAACAAGGTTATCAAGTGATGCTCTTAACAGGAGATAATAGAAAAACAGCTAGTGCTGTTGCTAAACAAGTGGGTATTAATAGAGTATTTGCAGAAGTTTTACCATCACATAAAGTTGCTAAGATTCGGGCTTTACAAGAGAAAGGCATGCGGGTAGCTATGGTAGGTGATGGTGTAAATGATTCACCTGCTTTAGCGCAAGCTGATGTTGGTATTGCCATATCATCGGGTACTGATGTAGCTGTTGAAGCAGCCGATGTTGTTTTAATGAGGGTAATGTTAATATTAACTTTTACCAAAAATGAAACTTATAATTATATATTTTTCAGAATGATCTTTTAGATGTTGTCAGTTGTTTGGATTTATCTAATAGAACTGTTCATAGAATACGGTTAAATTTCTTATTTGCCAGTATGTATAACTTAATTGGCATACCTATTGCTGCTGGTTTATTTAGTCCTTTTGGTTTTACATTACAAGTAAATGTATATATTTTTTAATTGTATTGAATAAATTTAAAAATAATTTTATTTTAGCCTTGGATGGCTGCTGCTGCAATGGCTTTAAGTTCAGTATCTGTTGTAGGATCATCACTTCTCCTCAAAATGTTAGTACGATTAATTAAATTATTAATTTTATTTATTATATTTTTGTATGACTTTCAGCTATAAGAAACCTACTATGGTCTCTTTAACTACATCTGATTATCTTTCAAGATCACAAGGGGAATTAGACACCGTTTCTATACACAGAGGATTAGATGATATAGAACCATCAACTATGATAAGATCATCAAATTCTTCAACTTTATCTAAGTATGTTTATGATTGTTTTTTATTTATTTTTTTTATAGTATTCTTTATGACAAAGAGATATTTCCATAACTTATTTATACAAATGATTAATCATTTTTAAGTTAGTGTGTGTATTTATGCTTTACCAAAATTTTTGTTACATTTTAAACTTTTAGACTACAATTTGTCTCATTGCTCACTTTATTTGTTATTTATAATAATAGTAGTAATCTACACTGCTTTAACAATGACATAATATGTTTTTTTTATTTTTATACCTTATTTTAAAACGTATAATTCATATTTATGTGATTGTTATCAACAAGATAAGATCTTTTTTTAAATAATAAAAACTTAAAAAATTTTAATTAAAATTAGATTAG